CACCTGCATAGACTATGTGATAAACACCGTCTATAGCAGATAGCTCTTCCGAGAGACATCTATTTGCTATGCTAAATATTAGCGGTGAAACAAACGCCTCTTCGATGCACCTCGAGAGCCAAGCTCGAAAACCTCTGTTGCTAAGTCTCCAATTTTAAGTGTCGCTTTCCGCCTTTTGAAAAAAGAGCTATTGTAATCGTGAAAGGCTGCGCCCAAATTGAGATCCGGTATGGAATTCAGAATGTGTGCTTGAGATACGCTGTCAAAAATGTTTTCGAAATATAAACCCGGAATAGCCCGGACGTCTATGGTTGGATTGTCGGTTGTTTGGCACTTGATGAGATTCATTGCACTCTGCGTCGGCAAAGTCGGACGGAAGCCACCCATGTTGTACGAAAACAAATTTCTCCTCTCTACTTGGTCCGAAATACGTTTGTGAATAGCGTGCTTTGCAGCCTTCCCACGAATGACGTCAGGGAGGTGGGTCGAAGGTTTGTGAGTTTTGGGGGTTTTCCCGGCTTTGAAATGAGTAGCAAGAGTTTTTGTAATTGTGAAAGGCTGCGCCCAAATTGAGATCCGGTAGGGAATTCAGAATGTGTGCTTGAGATACGTTGTCAAAAATGTTTTCGAATTATAAACCCAGAATAGCCTGGACGTCTCTGGTTGTATTGTCAATTATTTGACACTTGATGAGCTTCATTGCACCCTGCGTCGGCAAAGCTGGACGGAAGCCACCCATGTTGTACGAAAACAAATTTCTCCTCTCTACTTGGTCCGAAATACATTTGTGAATGGCGTGCTTTGCAGCCTTCTCCACGAATGACGTCAGAAGGTGGGTTGAAGGCTTGCGAGTCCTGTGGGTTTTCGCGGCTTCGAAATGAGTAGCACCGACGCGAACTTCCAGGTCTTTGGAATGGAACCCTGCTTCCATACACAATTTATCTCTTCAGTGAGGTACTCGATCAAGACGTCGTCCAGGTTCCTAAGAGCCCTGTTGTAAATTCCGTCCGGACTAGAGGCATAACGAATATCTAGGTTGGGTAATACTGCCCCGAATTCGCTGTAGCCGAATGTCTCGTCAATTGTTGGATCTGGCTCACCCTTGTTCGTATGATAGTTCGTTGGACGAATCATACCAAGCGGGACATATCTGTTTGCTAACCTATCAGCAATCATGCCTATGGGTTCCGACAGCTTCGCTTCATGAAGCCGATGCGTGCCTCCCTCAAATAGCTCATCCATCGGGGTTGGTACAACACCGCTTGCACATACAGCAGCCGTGCGGCTGACGAAAACGAGGCACATGCGTGTCAGTTTCTCTACAGAACTATCATAACTAGAAATTGTTTTCGGTGTTAATTCGCAACAAGAAGAACAAGAGTGCAACGAGCACGCTACAATGGCTGAGGTACGTTAAAATCCTGTGGCAATAGCGGAGACGGCAGGATATACTAGAAACTTTCGTGATAGGGTGATAAAGCAGGGAGCTGTGCCAAAGGCTGTGTATACAAACATAGACTCTATGCACCAGTTTGTCTTGCTTCTTGCGCTTTAAGGGTGCAAGTCCCAATGAAAACTACAGAATTGATTTTAAAACAAATTGTATTTTACACATTTGGCATGATATATGATGTGTTCAATTCTGTTTTTTTTAAGTGAATAATGCGTTTGCTGGCCCACCAGGTAAAGAAACTATTTTCTTGCGTACCATCAAGTTCACTAAAATGAGAGCTCACTCAAGTTGGCTAGCAGCGTCCAAATTTTGGTAGGACATGCCCCCTAAATGCTGCTTCTACACAAGTGTGTTTAAGAATCAGTGCTTCATGTTGCACGCAACAACAAGAAGACTTTGTGCATCTAACAAATTTCAGCTTCGACACAACGAAAAACAAAGGGAAATACATCAAGGCCCACGTCAGTGCAAGTAGCTATAAGGAGTTTAATAGAATAAATGTATATGAGGGATATATATCGTATATCGTTACCCGTACCGAGCGGTGTTATCGTAACTTATCGTTTCCTCCTTCATGCTTGTTGGGGGCGGGGAGTTTGTCGTAAATAGGTGCCGGTTGCGATGACCGGCATTTTTTTTTTCTTTGTAAGAACGTGTTCTGCAAGGCTCATCGGGCAGGACGGTACTCCACGTGCCGAGATGGTGCTTGTCGAGGAAGCGCCGCGGTCATGGCTGATCTAAATCAAGAATCGGCACGCTGCATTTGAAATCGAAGTGCAGGGTCTTAAGCCCATTAAAATAAAGGAAAGGGGGAACGGTGTGCCGCTATTCTTGATACTGGCGTGATAACCACATGATCTGCATAGCCACCTTCACGGGAGCCCTGCTTAAGCAAGAGCTCACACACCGAACAGAAGAAGGTGCTCTATTTGCGTTCTTTTTGGTGTGAGAGTGCGCAGCCTAAATGTTTGGCGTGCGCTCAATATGTCACTGTTAGTTTTATATTTGCATAAATGCATATAAACTGCTGCAAGTACAAGTGAAAATAACATTGACGGGGTACTTGCGCTCCAAATACTTACGGAAAAGGGAAATGGTCGAAACTGTTTTCTCTATTCAGAAGAATCCATATGATTATGGAAGACGATTCCAGCAGCTGGGGTGGAAAAGGGGAAGCTTTTTAAATGGACGATGGCGTATTGACCAATATAACTCACTGAATGGCCATATGTAAACGAGCATCGGCAAAGACTATATAAGGGTTCAGCACCTAGCTTCGAGCAAGGCACTCCGCCAGCATCTACTGAAGATCCACAATGAAGACTCTGGTGAGTTTTGCACACTGACTTAGGTGTCGTGCTATCTCAAAGTACAGTAAGCATGCAGGAGATGAGAAGCCAAATGTGAAAATGCAAGTCATGTGAATAATTCCTCAAAATGCGGCCCATGGCTACAGTTTCGAATTAATTTTGGGGGTCATTTGCATTTTGATAAATCTAACAACAAAAAACAATTTCAACTTGAAGTTAGTCTAAAGTACAGGAATTAAGCTATCCGTAAGTTGAAAGCAGCATTGTCTGGCATTTTTAGCGAATATTCTACCGTATGATAAAAAAAACTCTTGTGATATAAGCTGCTGTATTTCTCCCTGCAGAAACTCTTTGTAGGGAGGCTCCACGGACAGTCTATTGAGATGATACATTGAGCTTTGTGAGCATAAGTATATGAGTCCAGAGACTTTCAGCAGTCCTTTCGATAGCTCTTATTCAAAAATCTACTTTTCTTAATTCTCCTTGAAGCAACGGATTTCACCGTTAAACAAGATGTAACTATGGAATCGCAGAGCAATTATTTTTACTGCACCTGGCACGCATGGCAGCGCGCGTTAGATAAATTTGATTCCATCCCCCCACAACCAAACTATCTTAGGCATGTGGTGATTTGGGATCATACGAAGAGATGCGCTTTTTAGTGGCAAGGTAATACCGCTAGCAACTAGGGACAGCGAGAAGACATGTTTCATCACTTCTCTACTTTGACCTTCTGTTAGAGTCAGCACTGTTGATTTGTCTCAGAAAACATCTACAATCTCGCTCAACCAGCCATTTTGGTGCTAAGAAATGCACTGTTTCGAGAAAATAAGCTGATGTGAAAATCAACGTTTTCTTCAGGACTTCACAGGCTGGTTTCTCTTCGTTTATTTACATTTATTTTTCGTGTCCATAGGAGTGGAAACGTTATCAAAACAAAATGAAAGAAAAACTAATCACAAAACAAACATACATAAAATATTAGCGATAACAATGAAGTAGTTCACATGTCAGTAACACTGGCGTAGCCCGAGAGAGAGGAGAGTCAGTGAGTTCAACCCCCTTACCAAAAAAAAACAATTTTTATTTCGTGTGCTTTTAGACGCACACACGTACAAATTCATGCTCGAACATGCATAAGGTATGGTTGACTCCCCCTACCAGAAAAAAATTACAGCATATCCCCGGAATAATTTATGATGAGTGAGCCGAAGCTTCGAAGGGTTTTATCGGTAAACCCTGAATCATCCGCTGGCCGCGTCTATCCATCCATCCATCCATCCATCCATCCATCCATCCATCTGTCCATCCGTCCGCCCGTCCGTCCATCCGTCCGTCCGTCCGTCCGTCCGTCCGTCCGTCTGTCTGTCTGTCTGTCTGTCTGTCTGTCTGTCTGTCTGTCTGTCTGTCTGTCTGTCTGTCTGTCTGTCTGTCTGTCTGTCTGTCTGTCTGTCTGTCTGTCTGTCCGTCTGTCTGGTCGGCTGTCCGTCCCTCTAGTGAACACTTCAAGTACCACCATCTCGCATCTTTACATCATATAATCATCATATACACGTTCCGTCATCCAGCACACATTCCAAGGACTAAAACGAGAGGTGGATACTACATACAGGAGACGTACGACCCATGTCTTAAGGAGTTTCACCCCTAAAACTTTTGGCAGCGGTACCGGTAAATAAGAGGCTTTTTGGGGGACTAAAATGTTTTCAAGTGATAAAGAGCCAGTGTTACATATTGGCAACCTCTTCGTTGTTCCGCAGTGCAGTTGCCCGTATTCTCGTCAATTTTCTTCTTTTGTAATTTAAAGTATGACGGCTGTATTGAGAAAAAATATAGACAGAATGCAAATACATGGCATATGCAGCAGCTCAATTTCCAGTTTTGATGCTTCTTTCCACATGTACGCTATTATAGCACCTGTTTTTAGTCTGTTGCGTTCAACAGCTTTGGTAAGACGTCATTGTTCTCGACATTCCCCTGTATTGGTTTATTAACACCTAAGTGCGAGTCTCCTTTCTTACTGAACACTTCAGTAAGCATTTTCATAATATACATTTGACACAGCTCAAAGTGACTGTTTGTTCCCTATATTTACGCATCACAAGTTGGCGTATCACAACTCATCTGGTAAATTTACATAAAAATGCCAAAATACTATCATCACCGTCACCATTACCGTCATCGTAATCACCACTGACGTGTGGTAATTTTACCAATTTTCAGTGCATCTCCGTTGTCTTCGTGGTCGTTCTGATGACATTGAACGGAGTACTGGCTGGCTTCCTTGGAGGTGGTTACGGTGGATACGGGGGTGGATACGGAGGTGGGTTCGGTGGAGGATTTGGTGGTGGATACGGCGGAGGTGGTGGAGGAGTTGGAGTCGGCAGCAGCGTGGTGCTTCTTAAAAGTGGTGGCGCCGGCGGTGGCAAAGTGGTAGCTGGGCCGGCCTTCCTGGTGAAAACTGTGCACCACGTGAATAAAATTCACGGAGGAGGCTCACTCGTGGCCCACAGTGGTATTGGCGGCACAGGAGGAGGCTTCAGTGGTGGCTTCAACGGAGGATTAGGAGGTGGACTCGTTGGAGGCTTTGGTGGAGGCTACGGTGGATCCTACGGAGGTGGCTACGGAGGTGGCTACGGAGGTGGCTACGAAGGTGGCTATGGAGGAGGAGGCTACGGTGGCGGATATGGCCTGAAAGGCTGGTACTAAAGATGGCAATGAGTGGCGCTTATGGTCAACCAAGAGGACTTGGTAAGTGTTATTACGATGTCCAGTTCAATAGTTATTTTTGTTTAGGGTTTGCTTGGTAGCAGAATTCAAACGCTATAAGAACGGTGTTGCATACTATTGACCATACCAGTAAGAGCATGATATGCATAATTATACTGTATTTATAAATTTCCGTTAGATGGTGGGGTTCCACTCATTGTGCCCGTAATTGACGCAGAATGTTATCGTTCGACAACTCGCCATTGCAATTCACCATGACACCTAGTATTTTCACTCTATTGAAAAAGACATAAACTTGTTCAGTAAACTTTAGGAGTTCCCAAGGAGAGTAAAAAGTAAAGAACTGAACCATAAATTATCGCTACTACGCCTTTCATAGAGGCAAACTTTTGTTTGTGATCTGATCTTTTCACGCCTCGTAATATTACTCAACATAAAGTAATCATGTGGTTTGTCTTGCGCATATCACAGCATCAGTGAAATGAATACTGATATATGGCCTGTTTTTTTCTCTTCTCCAGTGCAGCCTCGCAGTGCAGAGATTGAAAATCATCAAAGTGCAGCCAACTTCAAACATTTCTTGGAATATACGTGGTCAACGTAATTTGTTCCCATTCTGTAAATAAACACACTCAAAAAAATAGACGAAACCATTGTTACGTTACAAAACAAGTAACATTTTCCGACACCCTAAAGTGAGATGTAAAGTGAGGTGTTATGTATAACATGAGATACTTTCAATTTTTTTCTTGTGATCACTTAGGGTTATAAATCCTGGAAATTAGAAATGACGTTGATAATCAAATTATATATATATATATATATATATATATATATATATATATATATATATATATGTATATATATATATATATATTCGTCGTAACAGCACGGTTATGATAGTAATGTTAAACATGGCATCAATACGAGGTACTAGCACTGACGACAAGGTGCTACGACAGTTCGAGCAGGCAAATGATTTTATAAAACGTACGAAAGCATGTTCGGTATAGAGGTATAATGGAAATGACAGAGCATATTTAGCGACAGTGACACACGAGTCTGTGAACGCCTTTGTGTAACTCGATACGATGAACCCAGTTCTGTCTATACGCGTTATGCGCTGCACATGTGCTTTTACGTTGATCACACCAGCACTAAATGAATCGGGGCCGAGTCTGGATTTTGGGAAGCGTGTGTTTCAATGAGGGGTGAATTCGATGAGGCTAGATCACAGCGCTTGCAACACAAATCTGCTCCACCAGGTCTCCACGCGGCACGTGCTACAGATCTGTTTACAAGCAGATTTATGGCTGACCCGTTCACGTGAGAGGAGGTACAGCTTTGCTATGGCACCTCAGGCATTCGCATGGACGTACAATAAATATGTTCTTTTCAAATACCAGTAAGTCTACGACACTGTCCTACTTCTTGCCCCCCTTACCACATCTCACCAGTCTCACCAAGCTGTGTATATACTTTAAAGTACTTAATGAAATATAGCGCATAGCGCTTCATCTTTTAACATTCCAGCGATGACAACTAGAAGTTTTTCAGTGTCGTTGTGTCTTGCGAAAAGGTTGAGCAAGCGTTGACTTTTGTATTGACGTTTTATCAGTAGCTACTACATTTAAAGGTTATCAAGAAAGATGAGATATACTGCCGCACATAGTCTGTCCAGTTTTAGTGTAAAAAAACCAGCAATTTCAACCGAAATAAGAAGACTGTAGGCGATAGTGATGTCTGGAACAGCTATACAGAGGCTTGTATATTTACAGGCAACATATATTGCAGTAAACCTTCCCTTAACATTTAAATTAGTGACCGTGGTGTTAGTACACACCAGCAACCAAGAAAAAACTTCCTGCGATGACCCCTAAAACTCGCTTACACCACTCTGGAGCAATTAACAGCTAATATAAATCAGTAAAGGCACTGAGTTGTCTATATACCACATTTATTTCTCTTAAGTTGATCTGCCTGAGAAGCTGGGTCGCTTGTTGCAATAGAAAATGCAGAGTGATATTGTAAAACGAACAAAGTTTCTCAGTATAGAGTACCGTTACAGCAAACGCACCGATTGCGAGACTGAGGCTGATCAATGATGAAAATACAATAATGAATATAGTAGGATAAAACTAAAAACGTGTGAAAAGTACCCGCCCGGGAGACCGAATTACCACAGCTGATAACATCCACGCCTTACAAAATAATCGCGTTCTGTACTGTGCAATTGTCTCTCAAGGTGGTCCGCCGTCAGTCTGGCTTATGACATCAGTATGGAGTATACATGCTCATTTGGGGTAAGTTTGTGTGCATTCGCCTTTTTGAACGAAAGTATACTGCCGAATTTGAAATTGTAGCCGACTACACCGTAGCAGAAGGTGCTGCTAAGCGGGATATGCCCTGAACATCACCATAAAGCCCGTAGCGGACCTTATACGCCGGATGACCGCCATTTTTTTCAATGTTGCTTTAGTTTAGACGTAACTTAAGAAAATGTGCTAATAGGTTAATCAGTTGACTGGGCAATAAGAAAACCAACGTTCTAGCATTTAGTGTTTGTTTGTATTTTTGCACTGCGAAAAATAGGGGCTGTTTTAACCTTGGTTTCTCAAAATGTTTTGCTTGGCTGTGTATGTACAAAAAATAGCTTAGTCCGAGCACTACCGCTTCTGTTGTGTTCTATGATGTGAATCGTCACGCATACAGTCGAACGAACACAGGACGAAAAAATAGTGTAGACGGTAGGAGCGGCAGCGGCCCACAGGCTTTTTTGGTCGCTGAATATATATGCAATATTTACATGTCCCCCCTCCCCCCTCCCCCCAAAAAAAAAAACCAGAAAAGGCAGTGGGGAGGAAAGAGAGAGCATGAATGCTGAAGCCCCTGATCGATAAAAGATGCACAGAAGATTGCTTTCCATGCTATTCATCTTCTCGTTCGGTAATTTCCGCTCTCTAACGCCCAAGCAGAAAGCTTGTTTTTCAAGTTTTACTAGGATAAAGAAAAACCCTTTTTCCGCTTTCAGGTAAAAGAAAGGCATTGAACGTGAAGAACTAACTCGTGTAATGCTGTGTGTAGTAAAGAAGCAAGTACCTTTGAAATGTTTGGTCAGTGATAAGAAAAAAAAAAGCTGTTGGAAATGAGTGGGTTACCGTTGAAAACTGCTGAAATCAGGAGAGCTAACAAATCATTCGGATTTCTAATCGTCTTTTGCATCATGCTCCCAAACTCGTAAAACTTATAGCCTATGCGAATCCTTAATCACCCTAAAGTATGAGTATGCCACTGCCATTTGGAGCCCACCTCAGGCTTATCTAATAAATTTACTTCAGACACTGCAGAACCTTGCAGTATGATTTAGTCATTCATCATACTCGTACCATGTCAGTGTGTTATCATTGAAAGAAAATCATCTCTATCAACTCTTTCACTTCGTCGTCCCAATTCCACCTATAGCTATATTCCACAATTTCTATTACCGCTCACGTAGTCATCCGTACTTCATCACTCCGTTCGCCTGCATATCTCATCGCTCCGGTAATGCCTTCCAAGTCGCCCGTTCGCACAGCCACACCAAGTTATTTTCTGCCTCTTTCTTTTCACGGTCATCGTATAAATGAAATGACTTTTCCCACAGCATTTCCGCCATTAACTGCCCGACTTTATTCTAGCAAAGTGTAACACATTACCTGTCTCACAATTAGCCTGTGTATGCACCATTTGGTATAATTTCTTTACATCCACCTATTATATAACACCCCCTAGAGGGTCATTAAGGTAATAAAATGAAAACGAAAATAAGGCAATAGTTCTCCGCTAATGCTGCGATACGGTGTGTCGGCGCACAAAACCGGAAGCTGTTCAGGACCTGTGCTTCTAAACAGTTGAAAGGTCTATACAAAGGAACATAAGCGTCACTTAAGCAGTCATCACCTATTGCCTCAATATATAAAGCTTCTAACCCCTCACGCGCTAATCTCTGCTTGCTACGACTTAGAATGTTTATCTTTCTGAATAATGGCTCGCATTCTTTATAATAAATGCAATTAGAATGCAATTTCACTTTTTCTTTTCTTGTGATCGACGCAGCATGCTCCCCTTCGCATGCATTCATGCAGCGTCCTTTGTAGCCCACATATGATCGTCTGTATGTGCATGAGCGGAATTTCGTAAGCCACTCCTCTGCGGATATCCTGAACGTTTCGGCATGCATTTTACTGTAGCCGCTTTATCATGCTCCGTACCAGCCACTCCTTGGGCATAAGCTGCCCGCTTTTGTGGCACACACACAAAAAAAATTCTTGGGTGTCATGCCTATCAGTCCTGTTATTCACAATATGGAAACTTTGTGAAATTGGGTCTATGCAGAAATTTTGAGATATTCTTGATTTTATCAATATGTTTTTCAACATCCGTGTACAGTCTTTTTATTTTGTTTATTCAAGTACTTTTCCCTATATTTGATGCAGCGCTGCCAACGCTTCACTTGATCATATAAGGCGCCTTGCAAGCTGACAAATGGGCACACCTTTCTGTCACGTCGTCGCAGATGCTTTTACCATTTTCAACGAGCCATGCTAAGTTCATATCACGGCTCTGATTATTTCAGACAACAAAAAAAAAACAACAACAAACAAAGTCCGGTGGTACCAGGCCGAGGGTGTAAGGTAGCTGGGATGCCGTTGCCATGCCAATTTCGGTCAACAACTCGCAGACAATCAGCGCGGCGTGGCTCCTGCTACCTCTCACCCGTTCAGACTTTTGGCACCATTTTCGCTCAGACTTTTGTCGTTTGAAAATCCTTCATAAAAACACCACGAATGATTGTTATGGAATAATATGCTTTTGTGCAATGATACAAATACCTTAATAGCCAGTCTTTGTCTGAAGCTTGACGCACTTTTTGCCCCGAATGGTTCGTTTGTAATTTCGATGTGTGGCCCAAGATGTCGTCGTCATTGACAGACTGTTAACCTTTCCGAAACCTTTTGTGCCACTTGAAAGTCTGGCTTTGTTTGATTGCGTCGTCACCATAGGTTTTGAAGCATTTTTAGTGCGCAGCTCCACCCCCTTTTTTATTTAGTCTCGCACAAAACTGAGAGGCGTGACTAGAGCGCAGTGGGCTTCTATTGAGATGGGCAGGCTGATTATGATCCAAAAACTGGTTCAGTTTTTATCTCAAATACGGTGAAGTAGATACCTTTGCGCAAACTATTACGTGCCGTCAATTACAGGAAGCAGGCTAACAAAAGCTCACTTGTTTTGAAGCTGATACCATACTAACATCACCGTCTTAAGCGCAGCCCTACCAGGTGAGGTTGCCGACTAGGACTTGAATATTGAAGGGCACTTTGTAAACTCCAAACTGTGTTCGGCGAAAGCTTGTGACCAATCGACTGACTATGCCATGAATTTTTTGTGTATGTATATATAATATATATAGCGTTCAGTACAGCGTTTTATATCGGGGGAATCCGCAATATTAGGGCGCTTCTCCAAACCACTTGGCGTGGAATCGATTTCGCTCAAACCGCAAGTACTGTTCGTCAGTGAATACAAGCAGTAAACTTAATAATAATGAAAGGTTCGTCGTTACTACAAATAATATTTTATTTGGCTGAGCCCTGGTGTCAGA